TTCTGGAGCAGGGATTTTCCCTCTCCCAGGCCATTGCGTCTGCCTATGTCCTTCCCTGGCATAGGCATTGTACTCGAGTCGGATTTTTTTTACGCCCTCCTCCTAGTCTTCGTTGTCCTGGTGTGGCCCTTCATCGCGCTGGCACGGTTAGTAGACCTCATTTTATTTCCTCCAGTTCCGGCAAAGGCCAAAGAGTGAGAAAGTCAAACAATTTTGGGAATCGGTGGGTCTGTTGGCTTAGGAAAGGGTCGCGGCCTATGGCCACGATTATTTTCTAATCCAACTATTAATTAGGCTGACTTTTTGCTAGTTCGGCCAGACATAGAATGAATGCGGTTCTCTTGATGTATTGGGTTGGAAAGAAAGTCTTGCAACACTTTCTAAAACTATTTATGACAATTTTCAAAGGAATGATGGGCGGGGCTTTGCATTTGTATATGCTGGAATGTTCTCGAAGCTTCTGACACGACCTTCGGAGGTCGACCACGCTCAGGACGTCCATCTACAGTCGATGACGAAGCCCTGCGGAACGCTCTCGACGCGAAGCCGAACGCCACCACTCGCGAATTGGCGACTACACTTGGAGACACCCATATGGCCATCGGCAACCATCTGAACGACCTCGGCCATCGGAAGATTTACTCGACATGGGTCCCTCATCGGCTCGGCGACTCAGACAAAGCAAGCCGTGTCAGTGTCTGCGAATCACTGCTCCTTCGTCCGCACAGAAAGGACCTTCTGAAGGAAATCGTTACCGGACATGAGAGCTGGGTCCTCGACGTCAACCATACTCGCAAGAGTCAGTGGCTTCCACGAGGAGAATTGCCACCATGAGCACAGCTCGAAAATAATGTCGGCCGTTTCTTCGCTTCGCAATCGCCAGAGTTCTGGGCAAAGGGCATCGAGCAGTTACCCGTGCGTTGGGAACATGTCATAGACAACAATGGTCATTACATTTTAGATTGAAATTGCATTTCAATTAAGTTATAAAGTTATAAAATTTTGAAAAATTTGCGCTGATTGTTGGAAGACTTTCTTTCCAACCCAATACTTTCTTCCTGTTTTCTCTCAGGTTAGTTAGGGTTTATAGCAGAAATGCGAAGTCACTGCGTGAAAAAGGTCTTTGGGGCATATTTGGGGACCGAAGGTAGGGGAGGCTGCCGGGACTGGACGAAAAAAATGTAATGGGATGACCGAGACTTGAACCCATGTATTTTCAGTTGAGTGCGTTCCCATTACACCACCGAACCCAGGAAGTATGCTTTCTACCACACATAACAGCTTCCGTCTCATCGAAAACGGGCAGAAACGCTCTCCGTCCAACTTGACTACGTTTTAAAATTACTGTTTATTTTCTCGTCTTTCGCAGCTAAAATATGGACCAACGCAATATATTTATGAGCTTGCGATTGATGTATTACATGAACCATTTGACTGGTCGGAAGTCTTTCCCTCATGGATAATGGTTAATTAGTAGTAATATAAAGGGAATTAGCAAGCAGATGTGATGGGCATAGTTGAGATCGAAGTCCTAGTCCGATCCAAGGGAGAGCAATAAAAAGGTAGCATCAAGGAAATCAAGTAATTTTTAATTAATTGACACTTGTGACCATATTTGTGACCATGCAAGTCAACATGAGACCACTCTCACCTTCACACGATTTCTCCTTAGGTGATTCGGTAAACTGCGTATTATACTGTATATATGGATTCTCATATTGGGGAAAATATGAGAACTTAGCATCAACCTCATCCGAGAGTACCTGTGGAAAATTCCCCTATTTTTTGACGTATTTGTTTCCTTTGTGAAGACCACGGCAACATATTGATCATAGCTAATCTCCGATTTCCAATGAAAATTTCCCTTTCATATTGCCGATTCGCAAATTTAATTTCAAAAAGGATTGTAAGGATGATAAGGAAGAGTTCTATTGAAACCCGAAGTTCATATCCCTAAACGTTTGGCCTGTAGAGTTGCCACACTGACACACAACCAAAAAAAATTATCGCTTGGTCTAGCTAGAGGCCAGCACCGGTTTTTTTTACAACCGAGGTCCTCTGGTTTGCATCATGTTATTTTCAAGAAGGAGGCGCACGGTATCCAGGGCAGGACGAGCGAGTGGATCAGTTGGCGGAGTGTGGACAACGAGTTCTGGTCAATGGTCATAGAAGTCGGGGTCGCAAGCGGTGTCTCTCAGGGCTCAGTCCCGGGATTACTTGTGTTTCTCGTCTACATAAGCGATTTGGATGTAGGAGTAGGTGATGAAGTAAATTTACCGACGACACCAAAATAAGTTTTCATAATAGGGGGAAAGCAGAAAGGGCTAGAGCCGAGCGAGATGATTGATGATGAGTGACTTTTTGGATGAGTGATGCAAGAAAAGGCTCATGAGGCTCATCAAAAGTAAATGTAAACTTCTTTACGTCGGTAGAAATAACGCAGGTCTCTAAACGCGTTCGGCAAGGATAAATTGGAGGAAGCAAATGGAGAGAATGATCTAGGAGTTTCGGTAAAGAAAGACCTCAACTTTTCATCTCGCAAGCAAGCGACGTTGGCTAAATTTAACAGGATGGTAGGATTAATTCATCATTCAGTTGCAAGTACACTCTTAGAAAATTCCGAGCGTTTGGGGGTAAAAAGTGAGCACACCGTGAGCTTTTCGAATTTACTCAATTTCCTCACCAAATGCTCCCTCGTCGCTCGTATTGAAGTGAACACCTTGAAGTTCTTCGCCAGGCCCCTAGATGGCGGTAAGGGTCTCGCTTTTCGCACGGTACACTAAAGTTCCCTCTTTCCCTGGAATCGTCCTTTGCAGGATTGTTTAGTACCTTGCCATATGTCTCGCCTAGTCTCATTATAGGAATCAATACACACGGGCACTTCATTTGTTCAAGACATGTTCATGGAGTACCAGGCCATAAACAAGCTCATATTCCTATTGAGAACCTTTTTGGAACACCTAAGATTCCATCCGTACAGATGAACTAGAATATACAGAGAGTGTCCGTGAAATTCATTTATTCACACCTCAATTAAATGAGGAAATAAGGAACTGATATCTCGGACACTATGGAACCTATAAGAGGTCGTCCACCCCCGGACATGTGCTGTATTCAGCACAGGCATTGACAGGTCAAAGCCTGTACGAGAGCGAAAGCGAGACACATTATATATGAGAATTTTCGACTTTACGTGACATCTCTATCACTTTCTGATGGGAGCGTTTTTACTCACGGAGGAGGAGAGCAATTTTACTCCTTGGTGATGGAGTAAATTAGCTCCTTTCCCAGAGTGAAAGGGGGGTGAAACTGGAGTTAGCTATTTTACTCTCTTTTTTGAGAAAAATTGCTCCCCTTTTTCTAAGAGTGTAGGAACTCGGGCGTTACTCTTTCGTTGTATGCGGTGCTTGTAGGACCCAAGTTGCCATATTGCAACTAGTTTTAGAGGCCTACAAGTAAGGCCGAATGGTTTACCCTTGAGAGTATGGTGGCGGGTCACAAAGGAGGTTAGGGAACTCCAGCATATAACCGTCGCATATAACCGTCCCTAAGTAGTCCGGTCAGTTGAGAAGTACTAGTTGCATGTTAATGTCATGCTTACTCTTCTGCATACAATTTGGCGCAAGTACAACTGCGTCTGCGAAAACCAGTAACAACCAACCACGAATGCACTGTGCTGCCGCTGCGGAAGACGTGCGGACGAAGGCGACAAAAAAAAAACAGATTTGGATATGGAGTCGGAGCTGTGGTCACACCCCTTACGAAACTCTGCGAACCACTCAAAGCACCATCTCGTTGAACATTCTTTATCTGCAGTGGCCTATTGCAGGCGTTCAAGACTGACCTGCCGAGTCCACTTTTGAAGTTAGTTAAAATCATCGCTCGGGAATGTCCACGTGCCAAATTCATCATGAATTTAAAGAATCCCTGAACACGAGAAGTAGTAACAATTATGAAACTGGCTCAAGGCAACAATGAATGAAAGTTTTTCCACTGGCTAATATTGATAGTCCAAACTTGGAGGAAAATTCTCGGGCTGGGAGGAGGCTTCAGAAGGCCACATCCGGAAACTTTCAGAGTGACTCCTCGTATGCCATGGGAGTAGTTTTTGCACCTAATGGCGTTGGCAGGGGGCCAGGGCTGATAGATCCTGTTCCCAGACACTATTCAGATCTCTTTCATCACATTCATGCTAATGAATTCACACATTCACTCTGAAGTACTTCGTGCTTATCATTCTGCCCCCAGAGATGATGAAAATGCTGTGGCGCGAGTGTAAGGTGTGAAGGGAAGGACTGATTCAGACTCGAGCTCGTGATTTTTTTTCCGGTAAGCAGTGCTTCCATGACAGGATCGTCACCTCTCATGAGCAGTTATCTAAGCAGGAAAATCTTGGGCTTGTTTGCACATCTACGAACCTTATCAGTTCCGTTTCCTATTTGTCCGGAGGATTTTTATGGTTGCGACCGACTTTGCAACCATAACCATGCAACCATATGTCTTGTATTAATGGAAATGTTATTTTTCTTGCTTTCAAATGATAATCGGAACGTAAGTCTACAGTATTGATTCCTGGTTGCGACTGCCGGGATGGAAATATTTTCCTTTTTTGAAGTCACCTCACTGCGGTTGATAGCTTGCCGGAGATCCTGGATATTTTCATCACGGGTGTGGATGTGATGACAGATTTTGAGGACTCGAAGGCTGTTTGGTGTTTATTAAAATGTCTACAAGTTTATGTTTTGAAGCAAAAGCAAAAATGACCAACATTGCTGAATGAGTTACGCTCTTGGTCTCTCTTCGTTATGGCAATCTGGGTGGCGGTATGACTCTCAGAAAATGGCATCCACTAACGAAGGTATTCATACGATAGACGTTTGCTACTTTCAACTAGAAGAGCCAACTGAAAGTGAAACGAAACTTTATCGACCGTTATTGATATTAGAAAGAGGGGGAGATAGCGATTCATCCCTATGAACCTATCTCTGTTAAGGAGACTCGGATAAAGTTAAGCCATAGAGGGACTTATTTAATGTCAGTTGCGGTACATCCGATACCTTACACCAGTTACATATATTTTGTTCATCCTTTCGTACTGGAACGCTCAACAAACATCGTCTCTAGCGCCCCTCTTCCAGATAACTTCTCAGGTAAGGTTTCAGCGGCGAACGACACGAAACATATATGTTGCCAGATGGTGCGTCGGTCATGATTTCACAGATACGGAAATAATTAGGAGCGTATCCAAAAGTGAATCCCATAAGACGTGACTACCAAATTATAGTGATACGTGCGATATGCGGTGAGAGTTCATACCTGTAGATTTTCTCTGCCTGAATACCTTCTTAGGAAGATCGAACACGACCAACGAAGGCAAGTCCAGAACAGATTAGCATTTCACGAAGTACTTAAAAGAGAACGAATTTTTGTCACCCTCTTCTTTCCTCTGCTTAAATAGAGAGACCTATCAGGACGTCTGGAGGAGCCAGAAATTGAATCTGACATAAGCATCAGGAAACAACCTTCAGAAACCTCGATTTGGAGCTGAATTTTTTACTGCGGCATGTTGGGCATAGCATAGGATATGCTTAGAAAACAATAGGTTGTTACATTGTGTTATATACTGAGCAAATGTAGCCACCGAATCATGTCATTCTTGGATTACCAAAGGTGATCCGTCTGGAGACGTCGAGTACGAGACCCTTCCTCCTCAATTCATTTTTAATGAGCAAAGAGATCAGGGGAGATTGTTCTGTTTTCGAAAACCTGCCGGGTCCGATTGATAAATTCAGTGCAGAGGAAGAAAATAAGAAGGAAGAAAACGATACAGTAGCGAATTTAGTGGGGTTCATGGTGATAGAGGGAGAATAGTGAACGAAATTAAGATACTGAGGGAAGATGAAAGTCGACCCCCTTGGAATTAAATCCTTGCCTATAATTATTGCAGAGGCCCTAAAGGAGGGCCTTGGAGCAACTTTTTGGCACTCTCAGGTTAAACATATGACCGTGGCGAATGGTCAAAAGTCGCGATTCGCAAGCCTCTCTTTGAAAATGTGTATCTCCCCATCCTTTAGTCATAGAAACGACAAATTTGGGCCGTTCTCCTCGCCACAGAACATAAAAAATGATGAAGCTAAAAATGTCCTCGTCTCTCTACTCCCCGAAAAGCCCGGGCGCCATTTGTGTAAATTCGCGTTTCGCCAATTCGCTGCTTCCCTCTCTCATTCTCTGTAGAAACACCGCACAGGAAAAGGCATGCTTCAGTTTTTGGAGACCAACCTCGTTAAACCTTGTGGCAAAGGGCACGATGATTCATTGTTTCGTTTTCCCAGGAAGTTCGAATATATGCCTTAAAAAAAAAACTATTTCTCCATAGTACCCCAGATTCGTGGTCATTTTTCGAAAAAGAGAGCGAATTACGAGATGTCAACTAACGAATCTGTGGGGAAGCCTCTTAAGAAACATCAGAACCATTTTCGAGCGAATCTGTTCACTCTCCTCAGATCCTTCACGATTTTACTTAAACCAAGTCTAAAAATCTCAATGGTGACCGCATCATGAAGCTGTTTTTTTTCCGTTTTAATCCGAAGTGACGTAATCCAGTATAATTTTCCTTGGAGGAAGACTGTTTTAGGATTCCAATGAGGCAGAAATTATTTACTTGACGAAGTGGATATGGACATTAGAAAGTAAACAAAATTTGTAGTGATTCTTCTGCTGGAACATGATGCGTTCGCACAGGCTGTTACTCCCTGGCGCTACCTCCCTCTTTCGTCACCTATGCACAAGCATGGCTCCCTCTCTTCACGTGCCTTCTTTCCCTGTTTCGTACCATCCCAAGCAGCATGTTTATGTTAATTTTACGTAAACTGAACGTACATTTTTTGCCCATTTTATATCTATTTTGCGCAAACCATCATCAAGATAATGTCAACATGTTTGCAGAAATGTCACCTCTGGAATACGTAAACGGTGATATAAAATTTGCGTAAATTTTACATTAAATTGAAATTCCCGTTTACATCCCCAACAGCATTTTTACATTCACTTTACGTAAAATTGATGTTGATTTCCCCCTAACATTCATGCGTATTTAACGAGCTAATTCGTACTTTTGAAGAAAATCGATTCATTGTACTTTTCCCCTTCCTTGGAACTCAAGGTTACTTGGACGAGTACACAAGTGCTCATCACCACCAGCACTCAAGAGTACCAAGATGACTCACTAGTTCCTCCTCCCGTACCAGAATCTCGGGAGAAGAAATAAATATTTAGAGGAGTTCTCTTCCATTAAGGATAGAAAAGGAATTGTACTTGTGGAGCTGGGATTCTACTCTTCCCTAATCCCGTGCACTGCTGTAATAACAAGCTTACCTTCAGCATTTAATGATTCCCTGAGTCATATATTATTAAAAATATGTAGTAATTTCCTGCTTTCCATATATATATTCATGGATTCCATAATAAAAAGTAAAAGGATGGTAAGAAAATCCGATACTATATCGGGAAAGCCAGTACTTAATAGTATTTGTAGGGTGCAGTGAACAAGGGTTCCATCTAGTGAGAAATCTTGGTATCGCAACTGCGGGATGGTCAGCTAAAGTTTCATATGGATGGTGTGATGTTAACTTTGCATAAACTTGATATCGTGTACTTCACGTCAGATGGAGTGACGTCTAGTTTACGTAAAATACACGGACACTTTTGTGACATTAATATAGAAACGTAAATTTTACGTAAACGTGATGTCATTTTCATGGCAATCGCAAGAAATTTACCTTGTTTGCAAAAAATTGACATGTTTACGTAAACATGCTGCTTGGGATCTCTTGCCGGAAGTAGTTGCCTGGATTAGCCGTATTGCAGACGTGCAAGCGCTGATGTTGGCCGGGCTGACCCAATGAAATTCAATCTACTTCTTTGTACGCACTATGGCAGGTAGTTAAAGCAAATTCCTTGTTTGACTCTTGACCTCGTGATCATTTCATTTCAATTTGTTTTTCTCATCCGACGGATGCGGAAACATGTTTTCTTTTTCACGAGTATCATCATCTCCGTGTGAAATATTTATTTTATGATATGGAGAGCGCCGAGATTGAAATTCATTAACGAGCCTTCGACATTTCCCACTATTATGAAAAATTAAAAATCAATAGTCCATTTCTCTGCTCGCCTCCATTTAACCGAAGAGAACTGACGCCCGCTAATGTAGAAACCTATTATATATTTTAATCATAAACGAATGTTGGCCTCGAAAGGAAACAACCGTCGGGAAAATGCGTAACGCGTATTTTCTTAGACTATTAGACCTTTTAGATTGCAGTGCCCCTCAAATTCAATCCACTTGGGCCCTTTCACTCCCTCATCGACCTCCTACATCGTCGAAGCCACTGGCCATGGAAACCCTCTGATAGTTCCAAACTGATCGTTTTGCTAGTGCGCTTGTGATGAATATCATATTGCATGTCTCGATCGGAGTAAGGGAACGCGCTATCATTTTAGCGTCGGATGATCTTCGTATGCAAAGATATATCAATCTATAATTTCAGTCGAAGGGGAAATCGATCTGAGACATTTCGCCTTAAGTGATCGTATGATAGTTGTGCCTCTGACAGGGTTTTGCCTGATTCATGCACGGAGTTTTACATTGAAGTATTATTTTCAAAAATACAAGTTTTAGGCTCTGGTTCAAATGATTCCCCAAATTGCCAAAAGGCTTAACCCAACAATGGCTCCTTCATGGCAACGTTGGCAGATCGTCGGCATTAGCAGATACGTTTGGCCCATTAATGACTCTAGCTTAGCTAGCCATTTTTTGGCACTTTATTGGTGGAGAACATAGGCCTTTTCATGGATTTAGGTTGGTTTCCCATTATCACCGCAATATTTATAAAATACCCTAGCCCAACAAAGCCTCCAGGTTGGCTTGTAATTATTGGCATAACATTCTCCTAAGACTTTGACCCAACGAAGGCTCATGAACGGATTTTTAGTATGAATTCATCCCTCAAACGATTCAGTCCCAGTAACACCTTGTGATCAAACGAGGATCACCAGGTATTAGTGTTCCAATAGTGATTTTCATTCCTTCTTGTGGTCGTCACACACCTCTTTGCATATAAACCCCCGAAGATATGCAAAAGCGGACACGCAAGCTTATTACTTCATGTTCTTAATTCAAGTAATCATTGTAAACTGTGCTAAATTCATGAGGATTTGTTTGGTTCCATTCATATCTACATTTGGGCACTAGGACTTGAATTAAGTCCATTTTACAAACTCTTCCCAAGGCTACCCCATGGGAAAATACGTGATTCTGCAAAACCGGCCCAAACCAATTCACATTCCCGCTCCGTTGAAGTATGTGCATGGAAATGGTATTGGTCTAAGAATCCGCAAGTGATGCCTAGGCCGCTCTAAATAACGATGTCTAGGGAGAATTGTCCCACTTGCTTCCCTGTTGGAATGCAATGAATAACACATTTGCATCCACAAGCATACAGGCAGGCATGGAAACGTATTCTTCCACATCCTTCCACATGGCCTATGACCTGGAAAGGCATAGACCAAGAGGCCTCGCTCCCCAGGTTTGAGCAGCAGGGTATTCGGTCAGATAGGCCGAAAAGTTCCTGGATGTGAAAGGGTCAAGATTGTTGTTGGCCTGATCGTCTGTCCGAGAGGTAGATATAGGCTGCCAAGTCAGTTCCAAGAATCAAGAATCAATCATGGATCAAGAATCAAGAAAGTTAGTGATATCAAGAGGCGATTTCGCCCATTTCGATATCACGTGTCAAGGTCGAGCGTTCCTTAATTTTAGGGTAGGCTCTACCGTTGTTTCGACTGACGTGGAGAACTTTACACTTACTTTTATTAAACCTCATGAGTCATTTCTTGCTCCGCTCGTCCAAAAGCCTTAAATCTCGCTCGGCTCTAGCTCTATCCGCATCCCCCCTTATTGTAAAAAGTATCTTGGTGTCGTTCCGTCAGGGCACATTGTTTAACTTATCTGTACTACGTAATGCAAGAACTATTTGATTTCCATCCCGCTTCCTTGAAGGAATAAAGTGTACTATAGTAGTATTACTGTAAAACACACCCGCGTTCCGCGGTATCCGCTCGAGGGTAGCAAAACGTCAACAGACAATATAACTCTGGGTTCATTTTTAATTGACGGTAAAAAGAAAATGTAATAAAGGGATAACGTTCAAATTCACAAAGTTCTACGTTTTGAATCCATGACAGATGTGTTACGTCATCAGGGAACTCTAAAATGGATATATGCACATTGTTAGGGAGTTCCGCCTCGTACCATTCAATCGAAACACGTAGCTGATCGGGCGGCATCTCGGTTGGCAACAGGATTATTATTGGCTGCAGGCGAATATGATATCATAGGTTATGCGTTATCCAGCCACATTGAGATACTGGAGGAACGTAATGACTCATGAGAGCACATAACAGGCCAGCACGAATGCGACGTCATGGGATAACACGAAACATCAGCAGAGCCGCTTATAAGTGGGACGAACCTAAAGACCCGGAGTTTTAAAGTCTTGTGGCCTAAGCTGACTGTGGGCCAAATCGACCGGCCCACGGGTGGGGTCGGCAAAGTTCGCTGTTCAATCGAATTTCCCGTTGGGTACTACCACGATTAAAAATTGGGTAATCAAGTCGAGTTCGAAAAAGTCGACGCGTGCATGCCTCCGACGTCCAAACATACGGAGGATTTCCGCTGTAATAATATGTAGGGTGTATAAGTAACTCCCTGTCTCAAAGTGTTTGCTAACGTAAAAAGGTACAAGAGATATATCGCATGAAAATACTGCATGGATTGGCAATAGTGAGACGGGCTTCAGCATGTATCACTGTTGAGAGTCGAGGTATGAGTATGTCATATTAATGTTTTTATATCAATGTTTTTTTTTTCTACGAGGGCAACCCTTGTATTTCCTTTTTTCACCAATGCCCTTCTTGTCCCCAGCAGAAATGTTTTGCCAGCACTACATCCCTTAAACAGTCTATTTCGAGCGAAATGAGTTCTTTTTCGATTTTCACGCCTTGATCCTATCTTTCTAAGCCCATAAATCCAATGCAATACTGTTTTGCAGGTGTATAGGAGAGAGTGGGCCAGCATGGGTCACGGGATACCACGGATCAGGCTGTTCATAGGTCTCCCAGCTCTGTGTCTCTTCATGCTGTCTGCTACTGATGTGCTTCAAGCTGAGGTGCCTGGAAAGTGCAGTTGAAAAAAGGGTATTTCACACCCAAAGAGCTAATTATGCTGATGCTTTTCTGTAGAATACGTTTTTTTCGTTTTTGTGGAGAGTGAAATCTCAATATTTTCTATTTACTTGTTTTCATGAAAAGTCTTGACTCTTTAAGAAATTTAATTCTGGAGATCGGTAGTTCAATGCCTGCACGTATGAGCTAGAGTCTCAACTTACTTATCCTATACGTTATAAACGTAATGAAGCTGCATGCGTGCCTATGAAGCCTCTGATTTAGCCGAGTGGTCAAAAACCACTTTCGCATTCAGACGCCTTCTGGGTTCGATCCCCGTTAAAGACGAAATTTATTTTTAAAAATAAGGCACGAAAGGGCACTAATGAGATGAGAATGACTGCGTAGAGGGTTTGGAAATTTACCGCGGGCATGCAATACAAGGACTATTTCTTTCTTCTGGTAGAGGAATGGGACTCCAAAAACTTGGGATACAATTAGACAGCATCGTCGGAGGATCCGAGATGACTTCAATCTGGATGTGGATGAGTTGCTTCGATTTTTGAGCGACAAGAAAGTCTTCACACATAATGAGGAGAAGATCATTCGTCGAGTAGATGATCTATCGGAGCGATTTGATAAGCTCTTCGACATCCTTCTCGTCAAGAACCTGGATATGATTCCTCTCTTCCTCGAGGCCCTCTCTGCCATGGGGAGGAATGACCTCAGGATGTTTTTGCAAGGTATGAGAGATTTTCACCCCTGAAATTTCAGATTTACCTTACATATAGAGGTTTGGAAGGGCCTTGAGGGAAACAACGTTTAAAATTGCCATTGCTTTTGTCTACAATGGTACGAAAGCTCGTGGTGTTACCATACATCCTAGTGCTCAAAATTTGCTTGGAAAACCTGGCAATATTTACCATATTGGAAATTGTGTAACTCAGTTTTTTGTGAACGTAGTAAAAAATGCATTTGATAAAAAGACTTTATATTGTCTCAGCTTTAGTGTGCAAAGACGCTTTTCTAGCTCGACCAGGATAGATGATAGCTCTTTAAGCTAAACGTGACTTTTCCTCTTCAGGGCTAAGTTTGAGGACGCTTATGTAAACTTAGAGGCAACTTTTTTCTATTGGTCATTGGTCATAATAGCCAGCATGCAATACTTTTTGCAAATGAATCGGAGCCTGAAGCGCAACCGCCCTATGACTGTTTGAGCTTGAATGCTTTTGATGTTTTTTTTTCTTTATCAAATTGCCTCAATATATCCGTGTTGACACATTATTTCCCTAGACAATGAACAACTTTTTAGGAACGCCATTGTCAAAGTATCCCCGGTTCGTGTGACCTTAATTGTGGCCCCAAATCTGAATAAATCAGTTTATTAATATTTTGTGCAATATTATGTAAAGCAATATTTCCTCACTTAATTTACACCGTTCAAGCTCGTCAGTTAAAGTGTTCAGACAACATTACTTCTGTCTCTTGAGATGTGCCTTTCCGATATAAAATTTGCTAATCGCCCTCACGGAAAATGGGAGATTTACATTCGTCTCGCCAAAATGTGTTGTATGTTGTGGCATACCATCCATATCCCTCACAAGAAAAACAATTTTGGCTGGTTTCTTCGGAATTGATATTCCTAGTTTTTCCATTCGACGTTAAGTCACTGATGGGCATTTTAGGAAGATTAGGTCCCATATTTTGATGCATCGCGGAACGTCTCTCGGTGCGCCTTATTTTGGATATCATTTGATGCAATGGAAAGTGCTGAAATCCAATTTAGTAAGTCACCTGAAACCACAAAGCTGCTCACATGAAACTGGTGAAAATTTCATTTTAAAGAGCAGTCCTTACCAAAGTCGACTAACAGAGGTATAGCGAAAGGAAGTTCTATGTGGTATTTTGCTTGATAGCAGAAGTGAACTGAATTCTTCTGATGAAAGAAGAAAATTTGAAAGACTAATCAGGAGGCTTTTTTACATGTCCATCATCCTGAAAGTTTCCAGATACTGACAACTGAAATCAGCTGTTTTTTTATTTCATCTAAGTATTCTTCTTGAGCATTAAATGCCATCTTTCATCCTTCCAAACCGTTTCTCAAAGCATTTCTTCCACATAGATGTGGGGATACCCGAGATCGTTGAAATAAATTCAGCAACTGCTTCCTTTGGAGACTGAAGTGCCATCCAAAAAGCGATTCTTTAACTTTTCGGAAGAGGAAAATGTCATTCGGGGTCAGGTTTCGACTACAGGGTGGGCCTTAGAGTATCCTGATGCCAGACTCATGCAGCAAATTCGAAGTGAATCCATCAGGCTGTGACTAAATGCGTTGCCATGATGCATATGATTTCACGTGTGACTTGGGCCTTAGATTCTTCAAAGATTTGAACACTTTTGGGACAATATCCTGGGTACCACTTCCACTTCACAGCTGTTTGACCCCGAAAAGGTATGGTCACCATGTGACCCGTTAAAGGAGAGAAACTAGCCACCATTTGTCATCCCACACTTCTGGGCCGCTTAACCTTGGTTAGACTAGGCTCACCAGGGAATAGTCAGACAGTTGAATCAATTTGATGCGTTTTCTCTTCGGTCAAATTGATTTATCCCGAATTAATTTTCTGTGATGATTTTTTAGATGCCTCTCGTCGACTCAGAGTCGAACTTCTAGAGCATGAATTAACACTGCCACCTAGGCCTCCTTTTGATATGGGGCGAGATCATTAGGGACCCATCGGCTGGTGACCCTCCTCAGACCAATATGTCTACACAGGATGTCATGCAGTGCTGCTGACTCAGCCCCAAGAAGTACCTGAATGTCCTTATATTATAATTTCATTGTTACCTTCGACCATCTTCCATGAAATGGTCGCATTTTGCACTCCAAAATTTTGCCCACTCGACAACGTACAGCGGCGTACCCAAGGCCAGAACTGAGAGGTATAGAAAGAGCACCATTCCTAGTGCACAACGCATCCACCGTGACAAATTGAGACGTCGCAAGATTACATAAACTTCCACTTGACCTGATACATTCCCTAATACCTTTTTCTTTTCTGACTATTTCCTGACCATTGTACTCCATACCATTGATTCTCTCTTTTTTCTGACAGGGCACTGTACACACCATGATTCCGCAAAGGAAAATAAACAATTATTATTATTATTTCCATCTGTCAATGCAGTTGGTAGCCACACACGGCTCGTCCTTCGAGAACAATCTTCCCCCCCTCCCGAAATTCCGGGAATCACTCAAACTTTCAAAATTTGTAGGGAAACATAACTTGAATCAAAACCATAACATTTGACTAAATAATGTACAAAAATTTGACCCTGTACTAAGCACAAACCCATAAAAATTAAGACCCCCAAAAAACCATAAGGTCTATGACCACATGTGAGGAGGCATTCCGGCTCAAGTAAACGAAATCGTGGCTGCATGTGCGACTTAGATTTCGTGACGATAATGCATGCATGCAAGCCTTCCCATCTCCCTGAGATGGGAAGGCATTCCAAATTTCGGAGCTTTAGTCCAAACGGTTTACAGTGGTTTTCAACCAGTATGCCGTGGAGGTGATGCAGGTGGGCCGTAACAAGTATCAGTAACTTAAAAAATGAAATTACTTAGTGTACCTAGTAGTGCCGGGAATATCATTACTTGTTGCCCTTCGTCCTTGTCGCCTGTGTGCCTAGGGTTCTGGTCTCGTCGTGACGTCTGGCGGCGACAATGGTTGCAGATTATCAGGTCCAACCGTATTATACTTTTAATCCTCTAAGGGATCGTTAAATATCATCTGTCTTTCTCTCCTTTGAAGGGAGAGGGTCACTTCCCCTTTGATCCCTCCGCCAGACAGAGGGCTGTGGTGATCCTAGGGAGAGGGGATAGGCATCATGTATGAATAATTTTACAGATTTAAATAGATTCTTTGCTTTGAAGTCCTCGGATTACTTTGCGGTTGTAAAGTTGGGCCGTGGATTCAGTAAGATTGAGACGCGGTGGTTTAGAAGGTTAGCCCTAGCCCTAGAATTAGCCCTAAAGTTCGCCCACAGGAGGAAAAGTCACCCCAAAGGTCAGACGGCTGGCTTTGGCCCTAGTTGAACTAGGAAAAAAATTGTGTTGAGCTCAAATGAAAGCTGAGACTTAGCTTAGATTTTACAGGTTTTTGCTTTACGTAAACATTTTTCTCAATACAATACGGATTTTCCTAATTTTTTTAAAGAGGGAATAATGGTAACGCTGAGTTAAAATACAATGGATTATAACAATGAAAATGGATGAATTTGAACTGTTTACTTTGGAACAACGGGAAGGTTAATTTGAAAACTGCAATGGAGACATTTTCTACTATTTTCACGGATTTCATAACATGTCAGCAAGGCAAGAATGCCAAATGGAAGTTCCCTCTAGGACACTTCCGAGGATGTATTATGTTACTTTGTCGTTTTTTCGCGATATTTTGCGCTTCAAAACATACCTTGAAACATAATTTACCAAAAATTACAAAGTTACCAAATGATACCAAACTTCCTAAGCATGATGATCATGGTGACCAACAGGCATACTCCGACAAAGATCAGTGAAGAGCTCAGTTCATTTATCCCGCATTGTTTCAATCATGAGAGAATCAGAGCCTGAAATGTTTCATCTTCCTGAAACTCTCTTTCTGATGCAGGAGGTGAAAAGTCTGAATTATAGGGGAAATCGGGGAATTCTGCAACGACTTTGGATCCTCACTATTTGTTCTTTCATTTCATTGGAACTGATGACGAGAAGCACTGAATTTTTGCCCTCATTAGAATGTCGAGAGTTTAATTTTGTTGCGATCAGACTTCATGATGAGCATTCGGATCATTCCGCACCCCTTCTCCTGATGTCGCAACTCCTTCCTGGGAATTCCACAACCCTTACTTCTTCCATATGCATTCACCCTTCAAGGCCGAACCCATTAGTTATTAGCCCTTTGACTTTGAAATAAAGGATAGTTGTTCTTCCCTTCAGATTCACCAGGAGTTCAGATATGAAGTATAAAACAACATCTTAACCGAATAAAGCGAAAAAAAGTCTCCGAGATTCCCTATGACAAGAATAGGGCGTCTTTTGTCTTTTCTCTAGGCTTTTTCTCTGCAATGGCAATTGGGGCCTCAACCTTTTTTTTTAAGGGTAAGGACCTCTAACATGAATCGTAAATTCTATTAGTGGAAGTATTTTATTTCAAGACTGAAACTCTACTACTCTCGATTTCCAAAGTTGAAATATAATTTCCCAACCCCCCTCTATTTTCATGTTTGGTTATTCATGGCACTACATGCATTTTGGAGTCCCATGCAATCCCATCCTGCCCGACTTCGTGGCGTTAATTGCCGCATATGTATCTTCCTGTAAATACTTATTGCTTGTCCCAGCCTTCTTGAGGATTGTTATTGGTTATTTCCCTCGTCCTTTGGTTCTTGCTGTTTTTTTTTGGGCGATACTGAACTCATCTCCCACGCGTCAGAGGAAACCGAAGCAAGAAAAAAGTATCATATCTCATGAAGAAAAGTTTCGTTGTGATGATTCCTTCATGTCGTAGAGCGACACTAACTCTCTCAATGTGACAGGATTTTCCATACAGAGGTTTTTTGCACAACGGACGGCGAAAACCGCGTTGACACCTGCTTCATACTCTTATCACCTTGAAATTTTCCCGGATTGGATGGTGACTTCTTACACTTTCTTCTCACGAGCGAGATTCAAGTAATGCAACTGTTAAAGGACTCCCAAGC